TCATTTCTGTAGATATTTTAGTATTCTGTATCATAATTAGATTCAATTTAAGTAAAAACTAAATTCCACTTGAGGCATATAACATTAAAATAATTAAAATTAATATTTATTGATTATCAATTTAATACAAGAAATTGTTAGCCCTTTTGACCCCATATTCTTACTTCACTGCACTACACTACACTTTAATACATATACATAGAGATGCTTGCTAATTAATTAAAACTAATTATAATTATTTTAATGCTATATGCCTCAAGTGGAATTTAGTTTTTACTGAAATTGAATCTAATTATGATACAGAATACTAAAATATCTACAGAAATGATAAATTTTACTTTTGATAAGGGACATTCCTTCTAAGATACTAATTATTGACCTAATTATTTAAAAGTGGGTGTAATTATCAATTTATGTTATTACAATATTATGTGTTAATATGCATTTATATGTGCAAACACTACCTCACTCTCTGTCCGACAAAGGGTTTTGCAAAAACTCATGAAATGAATATTTGTTCAGACATTTCAAATACAGGAGATATTAGATATTGAGAACTAATGGAGAACCACTAACTGTTGGTTTTGTTGATACTGTAATTACTAATTATACTTAATTAATATTACAGTGAATTCCACTTATTACAAATTATTACAAAATATAAATGGTCTGCAATTTTATATCAAAATATTAATTACCCCGTACGCCCCCTAGTTTCACATAGTGAGGAAATTATTAGCCTCTCCATTAAAGTGTACACACTCTTTAATAAATTGCAATAAAATATTTGTCCACCATGTTTTACAAAAGTTTTGAATGTACACTATTTTTGACAAATGCAAAACCTTTCTTATATAAAAACGCAAATGTCAAAATCATATATAGACAATATTTAAACAATATTTTGCAGTAAAATCTCTTAAAAACTCATTGAACTGTAGTGAAAGTTTATTTTGGGAAATTATATTATGTAGAACAATTTGTTTAAAAACTCACTGTATTATAAAAATTACTTTAATCATTCAATAATGGTAAATTGTGAGCTGGTCACATTGGTTATTTGTCTATTTGACAGCTATTTTATTTTAGTTAAACAGTATTACTATGATATTGCAGTACAAATCACGCATAACATACTTTTGGTGTAATAATTTAAATTATAATTAGATTTATATAACAAAATAGTGTTATAATAGTTATAATAAATTATAATATAAGATACAATACAGTACTAAACAATTATGAAATCCCGATTAATATATCTAAAAAATATTTAATATTTAAATATTTGTTTCAAATCTCGGCTCAATTGCAATGCAAAGTCTTTCGGCGACGGTTTGGTGTATGAATCGCTTATACCGGAGGGGAACGTCTGTTTCCGGGCACCGAACCAAACGATACTCTAGCAACGTATGTATCAGGGTCAGTTTCAATTCAAGTAACGCGAATCGTAGGGCAACACAATTTCGAGGACCGACACCAAACGGCAGGTAAGTATAGGGCTTAATCAGGTGCTTATTTTCCGGCATGAATCTATCAGGCTTAAACTTAAAAGGATCCGGGTAATATTGTTCCGAGTGATGTATGGCATAGATAGGTATTTCCACCTGTTGTCCCGCCTTTATGGTAATACCTAATATAGACAATCAATTATAGAATATATACTGTACTGTATATGCAGTATAAA